AGTTTAATGAACTTAAGGTAAAGGTGGCATTTAGGCTCCTTAGTTGAAACCGATGATGTAGAAATATTGGGGGTTTGTAATACTGTTGACATACACAGTTTTTACTTAATTATAGAACAGAAGAATATTTTTCATTTAAATTGTCACCCTGCTACTACTCAACCAGAGCTTTGTTTTTTGAAAGCCATAATGATTTCCCTCAGAAGCTGTGAGATTTAATGACAATGTACCAGGGCTTGTCACACACTTAAAAACCAACCTTGTCTCCAATTTACTACTTCTTCATAGGTTTTTAAGTTCTTTGGTCTCAATGAGATTTAACAAAGCAAAGTAGTATGCTGCCGTCTGCGGCCCCAGATCTGCATTTGGGCATGAAGTGGCATCTGTTAAAGTTTTTTGGGATGTTTTTGTTTGGTTCATCTGTTAAAGTTTTTTGGGATGTTTTTTGGTTTTTTTTTTTAATGCATTGTTTTTGCATCAAGGTCACTAACTGCTAAAATAAGCATAATAGAGTTTAAATAACTGCACCTGTTTGTTGTAAATACAATTATATCACTATAAAAGTACTGACTTGATTCATTAACTGCATCTGTTTCAGATAGTTACAGTGACTGAATCCAATCAATAGGAAACAGATTTAGGTAAGCACAAAGCCAAGCTATCTGTAGGCAAGCCCCTGCAGGAGAAGGTCCCCTCAAATCAGCATTTTCTGCATGCAAGATAAGCTTATAAGGCTTCAGCATGGCACCTTTCAAAATGCAGATTCTGATAAACCAATAAATAGCAAACTTTGTAAGGTGAAAGCAAACACTCGGGAACAAGCTGTGAAAATAAATCCTTGCAACAAGGTATTCTAGACAGGAGGGAGGGGGTGGATGACTTCAAGGGACTAGTTTTAACAGGTTATGTCAACAGCAGCAGAACATACACAGGAAACAGAAAGCTGAGATCGTCCCTGACTGGGAAGCAACGCAGGAGAAAAAAAAGTCTAAAAAAAAAAAAGCCAGTTAAAAATCATAGTTCTGGAACTCAATATGTATTAACAATTTTTGAGTACAGGTAATGAATATGCTTTGAGTGAGTGACTTACTTTCTCAGAATCATAGCATTTTTAAATCCATTGTTTCAAAAAGATGTTTGAATCACGTGTAATCTTTTTTAAAATGCCAGTCTGCAAGCAGGAGACAGCTACCTGTTTTCTCATCTGCAGGAGGAAGGAGCTCTGCTGTCCGAGTCATTCATGAGACTTTTTAAGTGTTGTAAGGAGCATAGGAAATACTAGAGCATGCCAGTGGGTGGGGAGGCCCAGTAAGTGAGGACAGCACTTCCACTTAGCCAGCTAAACAGACTGAAAAAGGTGCCAGGTCACCCACTACGGTGGCAAACGACTGTCTCATCAATGGCAGTGTAAGGACAGACATCTATGATGAGGTGGTGCATAAGGAAAATCGCTCTCGGTGCCCTCACCCTCCCTCGACTTAACCTATAATGTTTTACCGCCTGAGAGCGCGTTTCCTTCCGAAGTCTGCCATCCCCTCACACAATGTAAGCATTGTGCACTTCAAAGGCTGCTCTTCTGGGTATGAAGTAATCCCATCATTACGGGGAGCCAGAGATGTGTGTCTAATCCCCAGCGCTGTGGGGCAAGCGCTGCTGGGGGAAGGGTACGCAGGCAAGGACAGCCAACCTCTCGGTGCCATACACGAAAATCAACAGGAGACAAAATACAACTAACTTCCAGCAGCGTAGAGGTGCAGTTCTGCTGGGACTACGCCAGCAGAGGTGTGCAAGTGGGGGGAGCTGCTGCTTTGGCTGACCACCAGTGCCCATGCCAGTCTTCTATCCTGCAAGTGGCTAGTACGCGCTCCCCTGTAAAGTTCATTGCAAGGTCGCTTTTTACCATCCCAAAGATACCCCTTTTCAGAAGTCTCTGCCTATGAGCACCTAACTTGCCTTCCTTCCAGTTACTTAACAGTTTTCCTATATACAGGTTGCTGCAACTTAGAGCAGAATTCAATAAAATCAAACTGAGAGGTTAAACTAGAACATTATATTGGCAGCAGAACAAAGACTATTTTCAGCACTTTCTATAATTTTGCTAGTAATACAGAAATAATTATGTTTGCGTGGTTGTCTGAAAAATAAGCTTTGTTTCCCCATAAATAAAAGTTGTTCTCTAGTCCACATTTTTGTTCTTTCTGATTCTTTTAAGACAGATAATCTTTTACTGAATACATTTACTTCTCCTTCAGAGACATTCCTATTGTAAAGATACCAGCTATGATAAAAGTGCAAATTCTCAACTGCTCTTTCATGTTGGGAATCCTCAGTTTCGATTTTTATACGCAGAAGAGGTGTGTGTGTGAAATATATCCCGGAACTAAAGAGAACAGAAGCTGTGTAAATTCATCATAATGTGAGAACTGTCATCAACCTCAAGCCTGGGTGGTTCTTCAACTACAGGCTGCGATCGTACACAGGTGTCTTACCTGATGCATCTCTCACTGGTTCCCAGTGCAAGTCATCATCTTTGTCCTTGATCCATCCGCACAGTCCGCTATCAAAATTACAGCTGTGTACCAGCACACCTAGGCAGAACAGAGCAGAAGGTCAAAAAAACCCAAAAAACTAAGTCATTTGGATTGTTTTGGTTGGGGAACTACAGCAGTTTCCCTTGTGGCTGACACTAGCAAGCAAATATGAAAATTAAATGCAGCAGAAGGGGCACTAGAAAAAGAATCTACAAAAATACTAAAACAATAAAAAGGATGCTAGTGTCATTATTAACAATTCACGCTATTTTTGTGCTAAATCTGTTAGGAAATAAAACTATAAAGGTTCACTTAGGTGGTGGGTTTTTTTCTTTTTACAAAGCACGGTTTAAACAAGGGGCATAAGGTGTAGGAGTCCTGTGAAAATGTATAAAAACCCAAGAAATCTCAAAAAGTCCTAAACCCTAGGCCCTGAACAGGAGATGTGATCTTTACCTGGGTCATCGTTTGCTTCAAATTCATCAGCGGTAATCCCTCTTTCAATTTCAAGTATTTCAAACAGATTATTGCTCACTCCAGGCTGGCGTGGAACTGTGAGAAAAGTAGTTTTTCAGAAATGAATGGGAGAAGGAAGTAGGTCACTACCTTTAACAAAAAACAGCAGAGCAGCTCTGGGCATTGTGCTTTTCTTGGAGAATTCAATATATTTAATTATATTTGACATGAAGATTCATAAACTTTATGCCTCTGTGATTTATGACTTACGTTGTAACATTTATCTGAGCACTGTAAAAGATGATTCCAAATCTGCTAAAGGCTCTTCAAATGAAAGCTCCTTTTTGACCGGGGGGAAGGGGAAGAAAAAAGGCTTTAGCCTTGAAGCACACTATTCCCCTCCAAATGCACTTTTAAAGATAGCAGTTTCTCAATAACATAAAGCCACGTCAAAGCCCTTGCTCAAACTTTCCGATCCACTCACCTTCCACAGATGTTTACAGGAGAATCTCAACAGGAGGCAGTGGTACTTGGAAGACGCCCCACACGCACCTAACCTTTGAAACACAGCTGAAGGTATATCCATCTGTCTGCAAAGGATTAGAGCTCCCTAAACAATTGTCAGGATTGTACTGAGAGCTGAGAAGGAGGAGCTCTAGTGGAAGCTGGAATTCAACTGTAATTCTACCTTCTGCTTTCCAACAAAGTCTGTCCTTCAGCTGCTGTTCTCAGCTGCAAGGAGAAGGAACACTCTCAGTGATTAACGGGCCCAGAGGTTCATTAGACATTCAGCAGCCAGGACAACCTGAAATTTAAGAGGTCTTTGTGGGAACAATGGCCGCCAAAGTCAGGTGGCTACAAAGACTTCCACTTACTTCTAAAGACGCTGTGCCAGTCTGTGTAAGTCTCCAGAAATAACACACCGATGTCATGCCTGATGGACAGCTGTCAGCTTAGAGACAAACAGATTGCACTGGGTAGAGCTGTCTTGGAAATTCCTCTTTTAGAGGCAGGTCTAGAGCATAATTAATAACAGTAGTAATGTGTTTCAGGCATGTCCCTAGATGTTATAGACACCTCTGACACCTACAGTATTTCTAAGGGCATTATCTATTAAAAACTTGACACGTTTTCCATCTGCAGTGCTAAAATAAGCATCTTAATGTCCCTATAGGCTTCTTAGGCAAGTGAGAACAAGAATTGAGATGATTTACAATTCTAAACTGAAATAAAGGACTGTTGTTTTCAGGAAATCAAATCAAAGGTAAGAAGGAACTCCTTTTGCACTAGGACAACATGTAAATAGCACTGCCGCAAGAGCTCCTCTAAAGCCAGAAGACAGAGGGAAACAAGAAACAAGAATGAAGTAGCTTCCTGCTTTTTGGAATTAGAACAAAATAAGCAGCCTGGTAAAAGGTCGACCAAATGCTAACGTATTTTAAAAGTAGTATTACAGGCTACAGATCTTGGATGGAAATTTTGTATAATAAAAATAAATAAATAAAAAGCTTGAAGTCTGTAGGAAACTGATTAACTCCTTAATATTATAGTCATTTTTGGAATCATTACATCTCCTTTTTTTTTCTTTTTTTAATCCTTTGTAGATTTTGGATTATGTCTATTTGCAGTCTAGGATATTAATGCTCAAACAGCCTCAAGGACTTTAGGTTGGCTTGGGTAGTAAAGGCCTGTTAATTTTTAAGGATACACTGTTTGTAATAATATTTTTGCTGCTTTGTTTAATCTGTTTGTTTGCTTGCATGATTAGAATTTTGAGATTTAACATGAAAGAAACCTTACAAATGTGCACAGTCCACACCACCTGGGCCATAATCGCCCTGCAGTACATTTATGCAAAAATACTATATTCAATTATATAAAGAAAAAAAAAAATCCGTTTACCTCAGGCAGCAAAAAATCCAAACAGGCATGCTCTAAAACCATCGTTCACCCTTAATCCCTCCCAGCAGTATACTGCTGTCTTTCCTAAGAGTTCTATCTAACATGTAGGCGGGACACTTGAACAAGCACATTGTACAGCTATAGTCACACCTGCACAGAGATGCTTACGGCGGTATAAGCTGTTCTGACGCGTAACAGCACAGACGCTCTTACACTGCTCTAACTGCATTACAGTCATGGAGAACCATGAGCAGTAGCTCATGGAGTAGATACGTGTGTGAACTGTCTGTGTGTGCCTATATCACTGCCACTGTGGTACACACAGCAGCTATCAGCACCATTTAAATTCAGCTGCAGGGGGTTTGCTCGGGGATGTTAGAACTGGTAATTCAATTTCTTGGGCTTACTGTGGCCAGCCACCTGGGACAGCAAATTTTGCAGGAGTATTTACTTACAAAGGCTGCTAAACTAACAGCATCCTGTAAGTTCGTTACTGTCATTTCTGGCAGGACAGTGCTCTGACGGAATTTTGCCTTAGATAAGCCCTCAGAGTGGAGTTTCGCCTCGCATTACAACCACGCTGCAGGCTGCTGCTCCCTGTGGAATGCAGCAGTCCCCACGCACGAGACACATCCATGCTGCACCCCCAGGGATTATCACTTTGCCTTTCCTCTTCTCAGACTGCGCTAAGGAAAAAAGATACTGTTCGTTTCCTATGCTATGAATAACAAGTCGGCAATTTGCTTCAAAACTGCTGAGCGCAGCATACGTATGTACTGTAGCTGCTAGTCTGGAATGGACACGCAGCCTTTTCTTGAAGTGTCTTTACATCTGCCACATCGACACGGCACAGGGATGGAAAAAGGCCAGCCCACGGGAGCAGACGGAAAAGCAAGCTGCCCTCTCCCTGAGCTGCAGGAGGACTCCCGCCTGTGAGGAACCTCACCGCGCCATCACCCTTGGGCCCCAGGCACCCACCATCGACGGGATGCCCATATCTTCTTCTCATCTAGGTTAACATTGAACTTAACACTCTGCACCTCCATATCTTCCTGTTCTTCCCCTGCACCTTAAATTAAGTTTTTCTTAGGGATCAAAGGCTCAGACCACAGACTCACAGACAGGTAGTTACAGGGCTCTGAATGAACACTATGGCAGAGAGCATTGAGGAAACCCACTGCCGTGCTGCTCTAGGATTTGTAGGATACTCAGGGGTGACAGTCTCAAGGTATGTGCTTGCCCTGTGGATCCCATTCCCAGTCCCCCATAGCTCTTGTTTATGGAAAATACAGCAGGAAGTATTAGGAACTTATCTTCCAAACTACTTCAGTTTACTTACTAAAATACCACTTCTAATGCATGGTTATTTTAATAAATCTGAGTTACATCTGTGCATACATACAAGCATTCTCCAAGTTAAAGGTGATATATTTGCCTATAATTAAAGCTCTACAATAAAATATTTCTTCAAAACTTTTCTCTAAAGTCCTCTCTAAACGTTGTTACAAACTTCTAGAAGAACGTGTTGCAGAGCTTTAAACCAGTCACTTCAGTGCTCAGACCTAATTAGAGGAATGTGCACTTGATACGAAACGAGAGATGCAGGACTCTAAATATGATCCATGTGTACACTTCTTTTTGCTACGACGACTAATATGTTGAGTGGCGATCGTGGGAGACAGTACTTGGCACAATACTAATATGTTGAGTGGCGATCGTGGGAGAAAGTACTTGGCACAATTATTCTCTGCAAGCTTTCCAAGCCCTTTCTGTGTATTTTATATAGCGTATCAGTGTGCTTTTCACTTAACTTCAATGGTTTGATAAAGCTTGTTAAATATAAACTTGGCTTTTCTTGGAGAATTTTATAAGCTGGGAGTGGGCCAATACATCAACAGTACCATATTCTCAAAGTTCATGAGCTAAGTTCTTCACAGATGCATGAATGTGGGGGGGAACATTTAATAACTGCACAAGACTGATTTCTTTTCAGCTTTTTAATCCTTTGGGAAAACAGTAGGACTTTTTTTCATTTACCGGCTAATTGCTGAGTTTGGGAGTATAAGAGATGGTGCGTACATATGTCAGGCTATTTGTAATTACAGAATAATCACTGTTTTGGTGTTAGAAAACCAAAACAAAACATGGAGTGCAGCTTCATGTTATTAGTAATTATTATTGCTATTAATAATGCAGTGTTCTGCCTTACAACAAACACTGCGTTCTTATGCAATTCCATTCCACACAATAATCATGACCAAGCTTCCCATTTGTTAAAAACAACAAAAAAAAATGACAAAGATTTTTTTGACTGAATAGTTACGATTGAAAGTTGTTGAATTCCACTTCCAAAAAAAACCTACAAGTGATGAGATCTCATGCAGAACTAGTAGAAAATAGCTAAAAGGAAGGGTAGTCCAGAGGTCAGCCAGACTTCATAAACAAGAATACGTCCCGTTTTCCTCCAGGGAAATCTTTGATATATGCTGGGCTAAAAAAAGGGGCAACAGAGAGGTACACTTCACCCTTTCATCTGGATACCCGCAGTGTCCAGGATATGTTGCCTAAAACTCCGCAAATTCAAATTCTGCAGTGAGAATTATTTCAGGAAGGGCTTTCATGGACTGTCCCACCCTCTGCAGTACCATTTGCATAACAGGGGAGAGATGGTGCTGGCATGCAACCTCTCTAAAGTCCAACGTTGCATTTCTCAGGCAAGGCTCAATAACTTTGACCTAAATCAAACATCTTATTATATATCATCTTGCCAGAAGACTTTCTGAAAAGTAACCTCCCTGCTTTTCTATGAGCAGCTATTCAGGAGGTGCAGAGCAACAACTGAGTTTCAGGGAAACACAGCTAAAATAAGTAGTCTACAGAAGCTTGCATATCAGACCAGGGGATAAAACTAGCTGGAAGATTGATAGAGGGTGTGATTTTGTAAGACTCCTAGATCTTATGATTTAGCTCCAGAGTACAAACAGGAACAAAGTGCCTATATTAAATGCTTAAATATTAAGACAAATACATTTTCATAGGTGCCAGAACAGTGAAGGCAAATGAAATGCTATTGTAGAATGATGCTACTCTAATGATATCAAGGAATAACAAAACCCACATTCTTTGCTTTTAGCATTTCCCTTTTTTCAACAGCTTCAAGGATCACATAACTGCATTTACTGCACTAAGGACTTTTCAGTCATTGAAAGGGGGAGCAGAAAGAATCAAGTTTTAATCCAATCTTTAATTTTTTTTAATAGCTGTTATGAGAAAAGTCTCCTAATTCCAATCTTTTCAGCTCCACTAAGGGCTGAGAAGGAAAAATGCTGAACTATCTTTTAATACAGATAAGGGGTTTTGTTCTTGCTCTGCTGATATCTAGTATTATGCTTTGTCTTTATGTTTTTAATGTTTATCACCCAGATCCCGATGGTAGCAGAAATTCATAGTCTTATTGAAAAGTACGTTCTAGTTGTTAGAGATTTTACACATCTGAGTAACCAGAAAAGACTCCTCTGTACTTCACTGTAGTTTGTATCAGTCCTGAAATAGTTAAATATTAAGCCATCGCTGCATTCCTCCCTCATTGCCATTCCCCCCCATATCCATATCAGGAGAAGATTATCCTTGGTGCCAGATTCCACTGTCTGCATCTGACTAAGTGGTTCAAAGGCCAAGTGTAGGAATTCCATTTTAAAAAATACTCATTTTTTTGTTCTCTGAAAAAGCAGCTCCCCAAAGTCACTGCAGGCATTTTTAGAAAAGGGGTAAAGCATCTAAAGAAACACAACAATCCAATACCTTTCAAAAATTGCAAAGGTATTTAAATAACATTATCAGGATTATTATCATTTGTGCTCTGTCACCACTGAACAGACCAATTTCACCGGTCCTCAGCTGATTTCAAGCTGAGCAGCACATTCAAGGGTGTTCTGAAGTGAAAGCTTAGGACAAGTTTACTCAGTGTGTGGGACGGCAGGTCAAACAACAACGAAGGCAGAAAATAGGGAGCAACGGGTCACCAAGGGTAAGCTCAGGAAAAGGTTAAATAATGAAAAATTAACATTTGAGAGATGCTTGCAGAAAAGAAGTACACTTGCCCAGGCACGTTTCCTCTCCTGATCTGGACCAATCCTAGACCACCAGTATGTTTGCATGATTTGGTCTAGTGCACTAGGACATCTATCAGTGTACAGCGCACCAACTATGCCTTTGCCATGGATTGCCTAACAGAAGTACCACCTATTCAGATGGCTAAGCAAAGCAGCATTTACTGTCATGCTGCTTTGTCAAAGTCTGGCTAAGGCTTCAGAGCCGGAGGGGGGAAAAAAAGGAATGAACAAGTCCATGCATCACAAGTTAACCTAGTTTAAAAACACAACTTTAAATATTGAGATCTTCAGCTACACTGCTCTCTGTGCTGGGTTTTGCCCATCCTTGTGTGACAAAACACTACCTTTTGTGACTCTTCGGGATACAACAGCCCTTGGCAACACACGAGGAAGAAGCCATCTAAGAACACACCGTAACTCTTCTGAACACTTTACAAAACTGAAATTAAGTCCTACTTCATGATCTGAGTGGATCTAACATCAATTTGCTCCTCTGTTTTCTAAGACAATGAGTGTCGTAAGATGACTGAATTGCTGTCTGCATTCTCCTATGGGAAACAAATAAAGAAGGCAAGAGCGAGGCTTTCTCTCCTCTTTTCAGGCAGGCATACGGGGACCACAGTGCAAATTCATTTTCGAGCTTTTTTGCTGCCTCAACTGGAAAAGCAGATGATGTGGGAAAATGAACCTAAAGAGGCTCAGTATAAGCCAAATGAAATTAGCTCATATCCACAACCCAGGAATACAGCAAAGATGTCTGATGCAGGTGAGATTAAAACAGTAACAGTTTTAAAGAAGCTGAAGGAATTAGCTGAAAAAGCCCCTTCCCTGAGGAAATACAGAAGCAAGTGAAAAATCCACAAATGTTTTTGGAGGTGGGGGGGTTGGCACATCCACATGGCAGATAAGAAGCACGTCAGGTGTTAGCTAAACGTTACTAGTTATTTCAGTTTAAAATTCTGTATTGTCTTAACATTGTGGTTGTTAACATTGTGTTTGGCTGTGAGGAATGCTTTTTGAGAGGCCCTGGCTTACACTTGGTGAAAGCGCTGCCGTCCTGAGCTTGTGATGCCTCACACAGAGCAGCTGCAGCCTAAGAGTGAGGCACTGCTCTCCCACGGGCCTGGAGCAGGGGCAGGGCTGGCCTGCAGCACACCAGCAGGAACCTGAAGCTTAACCCAACCGGCAAATGCCATCTGTAAGCTAACATGAAAGGCATTTGAGCTAATGCACTTTATCTTGCATTTGCCACTGACCAAAAGCAGGCACCCAGCCAGTTCTGCAGCCCAGCTAATGCCCAGGCACTCAGCGCCTGGCAGTAATGCTCCCATGTTGCTGAACCCCTGGTGTGACGACATTTGGGGATGATTGAGTATCTCTGTATTATCCTCAGAATTGCAGGTCTCAGAGCAGGCAAGGACAAGCTGAGTCATGCCCTGCACATCCCATTGTAGTAATGTACACGGCTATAACTCTTCTGCCTGCTTTTCTAGATGTCCCACATGAGGAAATGTAACTTCTCCCCTTCCCCACAAACTCCTACAGTAACAGGATTCAATAGGTAAAGTAACACCTTACTCTACAAGCAACGCTTTCCTTGACAAGGTAGCACATTCTTCTGGAACAGAACTATTTTGCACCCAACTGTATTTTTCAAATCCTAAACAAATGCTTTTGTGCACTCACCAAATAAACGCCTCTGGACAGGGAGAAGGTGGGAGGGGTCACCAGTGACTACTACCTAGATGATACTTTCAAAGTAGTCATGAAAGAAAGACAGACAGACAGAAAGGAGACGATACCAACTTTGTTAAGAATTACACTACTAGCACCCTGCAAATTCCTACCATCTAGAGCACAGGTGGCGCGTCTGCCTTCAGTCACACAGTTACGTCACACACGTATGTACATCAAGTATATCTTTAGCGGGGTATAGAAGAAGAAATAATATGGGATTAAAGACACACTATCTATCAAGACACAGTGACTTGATCTGAGGAGCTATCTGTTCCTGTATTACCTGCTGAAGCCAGTTGCTGGTGCTTGACCTGTTCAAATCCTGCTGTATTGTGCACTGAAGCCTTTGAAGCTATGTATGTGTATCACAAACCTCAAAGGGTGGCAGCTGACCTAAATAGTTGATAAACACTTAGCAGAGATCAACTTTTCCTGTGTTTGTTGTATATACCATAATGTAAGCTTACAGTCAGAAAACAAGCTTAAACACTTCTACTTTTCTACTTTCCAAACCCCTATATCTGAAGCATACATATTGAAAGCATTAGCTTCGAAATTGAGCCTCTAGGGACAATACAGACAGACTAATTGTAAATAATAAGCTTTATACAGATAATTGTTATGACTTCATGAAAATAGCTGAAAACTATCCCTCTGCCTTAGAATTCCAGAGAACACTTGCAACACAAGACAGCCTGGGAAGCGCAACACTATAGTATAATTTCCACAAAATTCTGTATTTTTAACTGTTGGTACCCATTATATTAAGTTGTGGGAGTCTTTACTGTATTTCTTTTTAGAATTTTACATAAAAATGTTTTTATATTTTAACTCAATATAGATTGTTTAAAAAAATAACCTTGAAAAAGCCAAAAGCACACTCCTCTGAGTAGTACCAGGATTTATCTTCCCAAATTCTAAGTTAGCTTTTGTTTCCATTTTAAATTTATCAAGCTGTCTACAACAGATAAAATGTCAACAGGGAAAACAAACCGCTTTTTACAAGGAACAAAATATTTCACTGTGTAATGACCTAAGAGAACACAGCCCAAGAAGTGACCACACAGATGCCGAAGCGACTGGAAAAAAACTCCCCTGCTGCTTGTATACCTGCTCTGAGACAGCAAACTTTTCCTCCTGCTACATTGCTTCAGCAGCTTTATTGTACATCAAGCTGAAGGGCTGATCCCGCACACCCTCCCCATCTCTAAAATTAGCAGCAGAACTAAAGATGAAATCAGGTGTTGAGTATTTCTTGGCAGATACGTGTAACTCTGCATGTGCCAGTAATGTCTTCTGTGGTATGCACTAAAGCTGGTGTAGAAATGGTGCTGTAGCTTTCAGAGCAGCTCTTAAAATGCCATGTGTTCATGCTATGAGAATCTTTACTATCTTCAGCTTTTCATGTATCCATTTTCATAGATGCAGTCCATAAAATTAGACTCTATGTTATTTTTATGCAATTTTGCCATTGCTTAGTCATAAACATCTAAGACTATTTGAATTCATACAATAAGGTGACATAACAGAGTCTTTAGGTAATCAGACACGGTCCCATTTCTTACCATTCTTAAAGCTAAGGAAATATGCTGTTTAAGAGTGACTCTCAACTCCCTGAATTTGAATCCATTAACCATTTATGAGTTATGCTGCATGTCACTGTTTTCAATAAAATGCCTTTCATTCTCCAAAACTTTCATCTGAAAGCGTAATTAGGTTAAGCACTTATACAGGACAATATACTCACAAATAATTTCACGAAGAAAAACTGAAACTTTTGGTTGGATTGATCCAGAACTTCCTCCCCACATTTTTGTTAGGTCATAAAATCCATTATTTGTGCAGCTTTACCATATGAACACTTTCAGTTTCATGTCTTTTTTCTCACTGATAGTGTTTCAAAAAAACCAAACAGTACAGCACATGCTTTCACTTCACTGCATCTACAATTCTGATAAATGAAAGGATATGTAAAATTACTCACTGAACACATCTCCTCGGGGTTTCTGAGGATCTATCTGGATCCTGTTGTCATCTGTAACTCCTTGGGAAGATGTAGTTTCAATGGGAACGTGTGAAGGCTCTTCAGTTGTTATCGGAGGAGTTCTTTGTGGCGGTAGTGTAGGTCTTAATGTTGTAGGTTGAGGTGGTGTTGGCGGTGGAGGCCTCGTCACTGGCTTCGTAACTGGCCTTGTTGTCACCGGCACATACCTAGTGGTTGGCTTTGGTGTCAGTCGAGTTGTTGGCCTGGGTGTAGGACGAGTCGTTGGCCCGGGTGTAGGTCGAGTTGTTGGCCTGGTCACCGGCCTTTCTGTAACAACAGCAGGTACATATGGTGGTCTGAGGGGTTGCCTTGTGCCTCCAACATCAGGAATCCTATTGGTTATACCACTGCCTCCCTTAGGGAGTGTGCTGTTGCCCTTGAATATATGATATGGACCAGGTGGTTCAATCATAACATTAGGAATAACTGCAAAGATAATCAAAATGGGACCAAGATGGACATCTGAGTCTCTCACTCCAGAAACTTAACAATAGATTTCATTATGACACGGAGAGTCTTTGCTGAAATAATTTATCTTCTTCTGAATGTTTCCACTAATTAGAAATATACTTTAGCATTAGCACTGCTGAATTATCACATCCCTTTAGATAGTACTTCTCATTACAGCAGTTTAGAGATGATTTAGAATGACTGAAGGCCAAGAGACTTCCATCCCCACCTCCTCCCAAGCATCAACTCTCTTTCAGAGGTGGTAACACTTACCCAAAAGCACTGTTATTGAAAAAGCATAGACAGGAAGATGTGTGTTAAGCAGCTCTCTAAACTGGACGAGTTTGTACTCAGGAGCGGAGGCAAATTTAGTAAGACTCCAATGTTATAACCATTTTGGTCACGGATGGGCATATACCTTTGTCTTAAGAAAGTTATCTTTCAGACCTCTCCACTTCTTCTAAACTTTTCTCCTTGTCAATAAGCATTAATCATTTTACAGAGATTGACCCTAAGCCAGTAGCCTTCATTTATAGAATCATAGAATCATTAAGGTTGGAAAAGACCTTCAAGATCATCAAGTCCAACCGTTGACCCAGCACCACCATGCCCACTAAACCATGTCCCTAAGTGCCTCATCTACACGTCTTTTAAATACCTCCAGGGATGGGGACTCAACC